ATGAATGTCGCATTAAAATTACCATTTTTGAATGAACGGTTTTAATTGCAAATTAGTAATTGGCATAATGGAAATTCCAACAAAGTGCAATCAAAGAGGAACTTGATCACTCGTTGGTGTTGACCTGAATTAAGACTTTCTCATAACCCTGCGAATCTGGGGCAAGCCCTTCTGAGGTTTAAACCGGGGCAGACCACTGCAAGGCCCAGACACCGGGGCAAATGGGTTCAAGCCATATCCTAGTATAATCACCGCCAAAGTTCTCATCCCAAAAGAAGTCCTTCAAATACCCAGCAGACTGGGGCAAACTGGTTGAACTTGGGGCAGACTAGCTGATGGTTGAGGTCAACAAACGTCAAAGGCCTTGGGGCAGAGCAAAAACACGACTAATACACATTGGTTAAATTGCTACGCTCGCGCAATTCATATGCATCGGTTAAGTCGCTACGCTCGCGCAACCCAAATACATTGGTTAAGTCGCTACATTCACACAGTCAAAATGCTCTGGATGAGTCGCTACGCTCAACATTTGTAAGCTGTCATGACATATCATCTAGAAGCTAGGTTCTTACCAGAACGAGTATACCACTTCTGCAAAGGATCCAACAAGGGGCAGGCTACCCAGAGTTTCGTCTGATTAAGGGAGAGTCCCTCCAACGCTCAATCGGCACAAGTCATGTCGCCTCAACGCTCATTCTGGAGCAGACTACCTCAAGGACAATTTGAAGCCAATTACCCCAAGGGTTAGTTAATCAAGGTCAAAACCCTTTCCCGACTAAATTTGTAACAAACCATCTCGAGATCATCTCATAGTATATTTGCGTCTGAATTCCCTTCATGACTTGGAGTTTTGGAACAAACCATCTCGAGGTCATCTCATGGTACAACTGTTTCCAACTTCCTTTCACGATGTGGAATGCTGGGGCAAGCCATCTCGAGTTCATCTCATGGTACAACTGTTTCCAACTCCCTTTCACGACTTGGAATGCTGGGGCGAGCCATCTCGAGTTCGTCTCATGGTATGATTGCTTCCAATTTCCGTTCAAGGAAAATTCCTTCATAGACCCAAACTGGGGCAAATTGAACCATATTGGGGCAATTACTCAAGCAAGTTTATTCTCGTCAGCAAAAATTGAGTGTCGGGGAATCATGCCATCACCCCACCAAATAACCTTAACCTCCTGAAAGAGCCTTTTTGTCATTAGGTTTCACCCCACAGCTTGGACCTGATACCTGTCAGAGCTTTGTAACCGAAATAAATCCTTCAAGGTCCAATTTCGTTTGGCAACTACCAAAGTCCAATCCATTTGGCAACCACTAAAAGTCCACCCTCGTTGGCATCCTCAATAACCAAAGTCCAATCCATTTGGCAACCACTAAAAGTCCACCCTTGTTGGCATCCTCAATAACCAGAGTCCTAACCATTTGGCGGTTACCGAATCCAACCCCTGGTGATGTCCCCAACAGGATGTCATCCCCAGCATACCTGGTCGCTGCATTATCATAAGCACGATATACAATATCGCATCATATTATCGTCATATCGAGCATTAACATATCATTGGCATTCGCATCGTGCACTTCCTAGCAGTTGCATCTTAGTTGCATGTTTGGGCATTATGAAACATTGCATTGCATGACAACATAGCAGGATCCAGGATCAGTTCACCAGCATCTTGGTCAGTCCTCCAGTGAAGTTGGCAGTATGACTCTGAAAAGATTTAATACCTCACGAGTTCAGGGAATTCTACTCCCCAGCAAGTCAGTCTTCAACCATGCAGTTGATGATGATAATCCCCAGCAACTATTGGCTCCCCAAGCAGAGGTTATCTTAGAGAGTTTATTGAAGATTTCTCCCCTGCAGAGTTCTGCACAAGGTTGCTCCTCTAATAGGAATCTTAGCTCAGCTATTCCTCAGCAAAATTATCACTAGAGATACTGCTTTGGTATCATCGAAGAGCCTTAATGGATAAGGTACTGCTTCGACCACCCGAAGAATCTCAATTTGTGTTCAGAGATACTGCTTTGGTATCATCGAAGAGCCTTAATGGATAAGGTACTGCTTCGACCACCCGAAGAATCTCATATTTTGTTCGAGATACTGCTTTGGTATTATCGAAGAGCCTAATGGATAAGGTACTGCTTCGATCACCCGAAGAATCTCATGTTTTGTTCGAGATACTGCTTTGGTATCATCGAAGAGCCTTAATGGATAAGGTACTGCTTCGATCACCCGAAGAATCTCATGTTTTGTTTGAGATACTGCTTTGGTATCATCGAAGAGCCTTAATGGATAAGGTACTGCTTCGATCACCCGAAGAATCTCATGTTTTGTTCGAGATACTGCTTTGGTATCATCGAAGAGCCTTAATGGATAAGGTACTGCTTCGATCACCCGAAGAATCTCATGTTTTGTTCGAGATACTGCTTTGGTATCATTGAAGAGCCTTAATGGATAAGGTACTGCTTCGATCACCCGAAGAATCTCAAGTTTTGTTCGAGATACAGCTTTGGTATCATCGGAGAGCCTTAATGGATAAGGTACTGCTTCGATCACCCGAAGAATCTCAAGTTTTTATCAGAGATACTGCTTTGGTATCATCGAAGAGCCTTAATGGATAAGGTACTGCTTCGATCACCCGAAGAATCTCATGTTTTGTTCGAGATACTGCTTTGGTATCATCGAAGAGCCTTAATGGATAAGGTACTGCTTCGATCACCCGAAGAATCTCAAGTTTTGTTCGAGATACTGCTTTGGTATCATCGGAGAGCCTTAATGGATAAGGTACTGCTTCGATCACCCGAAGAATCTCAAGTTTTTATCAGAGATACTGCTTTGGTATCATCGAAGAGCCTTAATGGATAAGGTACTGCTTCGATCACCCGAAGAATCTCATGTTTTGTTCGAGATACTGCTTTGGTATCATCGAAGAGCCTTAATGGATAAGGCACTGCTTCGACCACCCAAAGAGGATCATTTATACCACTCTGGTACCGCGAAGAACCTTATTGGATAAAGGACTGCTTCGACCACCCAGGGAATATCAGGTTATCTCGTTCATCTTTTTGCATCTTGTCATCCCGTTCAGGTATATCCTATCTCTTTGCATTTTTACTCGCTTGTCGGACAAATTTCGGGTTCTTTTTGTATCTAATTGACTTCCACCCTGAAAATGAACGCCATGCAGTTGTTCATTCTCTCAGGTTCAAGGCAATTAGATAGGGGCATCTGTCATACCCCAAATTTGTCCTACCTTCTTTTCAAAATTTCTCATTTGCCCGACTTTGTTTTTAATGTACCTCGCTTATACAGCGTAGCGTATTTTTCAGCAAAAGCAGGCATTTTCGCTTTTTAGCCCCAATAAGGGTATGCCACGTGGCATTTGCTTTTTTTATATATATACCTATTTTTTATATATAATTTCATTTTTCTCGTGATAAGTTAATATATTGTTTTTTTATTTAATTAGTTTTGAAGTAGAAATTAGGATTTAATTGTTTTAATTAGATAGATTTAATTTAGAACTTAATTATAATTTAGAAATTTTAATTTTAAAAAATATAGAGAAAAAATAGAGTTAGAATTTAATTAGGATTTATTTTAAAAAAATTAGATTAGATTTTAATTAATTAGTTTAGATTTAATTTATAATTAATGGTTAGAATTAAATTAAATAGGAAAATAGGTTTTTAATTTAGTTTATTATTCAGAAAAATAAGTTAAAAGAAAATAAAAAAAGGAGATGAATTAATTTGTTTAGGGTCACGGTGGATTAGGGTTTTTTTTGGGATTATGTAAGGATACTATTCACCATACCCTGGGAATGAAGGGCAGATACTGTTCACCCTAACCCTAAAACGGGCCGCCCTAATTTTGAAGGGCAACCCTAACTATCCCCAATTCCACCCCAAAAGAACCCTAGCTACAGTAAAATGCCAGCCGCCGGAACTCCTCCTTCGACCCTCCTTCCAACTTCAGTTCCCAAACCCAGCACTACCCATCCTCCATTTTCGAAACCTTGAACTACCATTATCGTTCAACTTCAACCTCCAACTCTCTCCTTCAAAAAACTCGCCCAGGACTTACCATGTTCTTCTCCATTTTCGGATACCACCAACACCTCAATACAACATGAACAAAAATCACCATTCAATAACCTCCATGAAACTTCCATAAACCTTCATCCAAAAACATCCATCAACTCTCATGAATAAACCGCATCGGAAAACCCTTACGAGGAAAACCGTCACCCTCGAGGTCGAGTCTTCCGACACCATTGATAATGTCAAAGCCAAGATCCAAGATAAGGAAGGAATCCCACTGGACCAACAGCTCACGCACGGCTAACAACTCAAACCAGCGCCACAATCACGATTGGAGTAAACAAATGACTACACATGGTTCAGTCAGCCCGCTGTTTCAAAGATGTCTTGTGTGTATTATTCCAGTTTCGACGCATCCGACAATACAAAGAAAGTTTGAGCTCATCCTGGATAGAGTTCGGGAGGAGCACAAGCCATATCCGAGAAGAAGAGAAATGGGTCGTGCATTCAAAGGTAGGATTTGGATTGAAGCCTTATAAAGCAGAGATACATATAGCAGCAAGTTGGAACAACAACAACAGTTCGTGTTCAGTTGTGAAATTTGGTTTCAGTTCATAGCCGCTGCGGTTACGGCTTAGCAACTGCAACAACAAAACTCATTAAGATTTGAAGAATTAAAGTTTTTCGAAGGGAAGAACAGAATCTCCGCAAAAACCGCCGTGAACCACCTTCAAAGTGATACACCTCCAAACTTCTTCGATCTGAAATTTTAAGCCAGCTTCTTCAAAAAAGCGCGAGTACGCATAATACAGAAATCTGTTTTGCCTCTTGTTGTCACGAGTGGTTACTATAACGCAAGTCATTTTTCTCTGTTGCACTCGACTCAAGTTTCACAGCGGGTTCACCTCCATACCTGCAATTGCCGACGCTTTCTTCTAGGGTTTGTGACCAGAAAAATGTTTGTGCCGCTGGTGCCGTGTGTATACGTTATAGAGGACTGTGTTTGCAAATGGAAGAGTGGCAGCTCTTCTCTCAAGGTCTCTCAACCTGTTCCAATGCTTCGCTTTCTCTACGAGCTCGCCTGGACCATGGTTCGAGGTATAGTGAGCCAGATGGCTCAAGATCTTACATTGTCCGGAGAGTTTCGTTCTCGTCTCATTAAACTGGCAAGATGGTTTGTAGAATCTGAATTGGTTCCAGTTAGGTTACTTCAAGAACGCTGCGAGGAAGAATTTTTGGGGGAGGCTGAATTTATCAAAATTAAGGCTCAGGAGCTTAAGGGAAAAGAGGATTTAAATTTCAATATTATCAGGCGCATGCTTTCTTTCCTCTGTTGCTCACTCGCTCCAAGTTATGGATGCATCCAACGCTGAAAATGCATTGAGGCGTCGTGAAGTTGTTGGAATATTACAAACAGTTGCGTTGCTGTCGTGACCTGACATTCCTCAGCAACTCAAGTAGGCGTTGGTTTAAACCGAAAATTCGTGGGGAAGCGTCGAACAATTGCAACAACATCTACAACATATCAGCAACGACCATGTCACGACAACCGACTTGGTGCTATTACGCAGCTACATCTCATTCGCAATATCATGTATATGCTTATGTGATGACGCAACGAGTGTAGCAATATTTGGTTCGTACTCCATTCAATAACTTGGCAGCAGTAGTCTCATCTCTGTTGCGTTCCATGCTGGTTTCACAATAATATCACGGCGGTTCGTGATTTCCACAACTTATCAAAGATCACATGAAATTGGAGTGTCTACGGAAACTGAGATGAGTGAGAATGATTTTTCTGAAGAGCACGGGCTTGATGACATTCATGAAAATTCTCAAGCCAAAAGTAGTTTAATGGTTTCATCAAATGAATATCAAAGGGAGGCATCCTTTCAGTCTGCGACCGATGAAACATTCGACATCATCAATGTTAGTCATCATCCGAATGACACAACTGAAATAAATGATGTATCTGTAGATGGAAAGGTTGCAGGAGCTAAAGTGGAAAATGACATTGAAGTTCTATTGAATGATTATCAACCTAGTGACCTCTTGCAATCTGAAGTTGAGGAATCAAATATCTTATATAAGAATGATGGTGACGATGCTGGTAAGACGAGTAAAATTGAGCGATGTGACAGAACTGAAGATGAAGTCATTAGCAATATCGAATTATATGAAGAACAAAACAAAGCCACTGGTGTTGCTGTTGACTCACATGAAGAACAAGCTACACAGCTTTTAGTGAAGACTGCAGAAGACTTTTCCATCAAGCATACACCACATTCTTCAACCACTACCAAGCCTTCTGCTCAACATGATTCTGCCGTTGAAGATGATTCAAATGGAGAGCCTGTTCATGATCAAGGAATTGATACTTCTGCTGACTCGCACGTAGCTGCAGAAGACTTTACCAGAAAGTATACAGCACATTCTTCTATAAATACTAGGTCTTCTGCTCAACATGTTTTTGCTGTTGAAGATAATTCAAGGGGAGAAGTGTCTATACTTACTGCTGCGCCACTTTCGGTTCAAGATCAAAGTGTTAATAACTTGATTAAACTAACTTCTCCTGGGACGGATGCTTCAGTTGACTCAAGGAATCAGCTCTTGGTTCAGAAGACAACCTTGTTATTTGGAAGGGTGATTACATTTTGTTGCGGTGTCGCCGAATTCTGTTGATACAACAAACACGTTACAAATTCAAGCAACGCATCCTGTCAAATGCTCCCGAACGAAAGTTTCAAAGCAAAACAGCTTGCAGGGATTGAGCCAAGGAAAAATCCGCTTCAAATTGGACCGTGGTTTTTTTTGAACGCTGGAGTTGCTACTTTGATGACATAGTATGATCCGCAAAGCATTCCCAACGTCACAGAACTTGTCGTATCCTTCGCGTGTGATTTCGAATTGGCTCACCAAATCTCATTCCTCGGTACTAGTTCGGGATTCTTCTACTTTATCTGTTGTCTCTGAGTTGAAAGGGCATCTAAATGGAGTTACATGCATCTGTTTCTCACCAAATGGTAAACATATGGTATCTGTCGGGGTTTATATTTATCTTTGGGACTGGCGGAGTGGTCACCTGATAACTAAGCTTCAAGCAACTTCATCTTCTTCTACTGTCTCAAGTGTTAGCTTTTCATTAGATGCAGAATTTATTGCTACTACTCATAGGAAGACACTTGAGAAAGCTGGTGTTATTTTTTGTTCCATTTCTGATGCGATTAAAGAGTATCCTGATTTGGTTAAGAAGTACTTAGGTAGAGTTGTTTCTAGCGATGATAATTGTTATGCCGCGTTGAATGCAGCTGTTTTTAGTGACGGGTCGTTTTGTTATATTCCTAAGGATACTAAGTGTCCGATGCAGATTTCGACTTATTTTAGAATCAATGCCTTGGAGACTGGGCAATTCGAGAGGACGTTGATTGTTGCCGAGGATAGAAGCTCGGTTGAGTATTTGGAAGGGTGTACTGCACCATCGTACGATAAGAATCAGCTTCATGATGCTGTTGTTGAGTTGTATTGCGCTGAGGGTGCTGAGATTAAGTATTCGACGGTGCAGAATTGGTATGCGGAGGGTGAGAATGGGAAAGGCCGATACAGGGACCAAGATGATACATAAAGGGAATGATACAAGGAGTAGGATTATATCCAAGGGTATTTCTGCTGGACATTCGAGGAATTGTTATAAAGGGCTTGTTCAGGTTCAGTCTAAGGCGAAGAATGCGAAAAACTCTTCGCAGTGTGATTCCATGCTTATTGGCGATACTGCAGCTGCCAATACATATCCTTATATCCAGTGTCCGTGTCGTGTCGTGTTCCAGTGACCGTTTCAAGCAACAGATATGGCTAGTGTGAATTTCCGCCGTTTCAAAGTTGTTAAGCCCCACTGCCTCATCGTGATTCAACAACACGCAAACAGCTTCACAACAGGCCGCCAAGACTTGTGGATTGCAGCAGTCGGAACCGGCAGCGTTTTATTCTGCAGCAAAAAGTCAAGTATCCGCAACACGAATACGCATAGAAATAGTGTTATTCACCCAGCAAACGAGCGACAATAGCTGGCAACAACAGTTCGCAGCTTGGTTCACGTGGTGGGTCGAATTTGACAGGTCACAGGTCACATACCAAACGCAAGACACCAGCCATGGATTTGCAGCGACAATGAGGCTATGTCGGTAAACCTCTAACTTATAAATTTACTGTTGTGTGATTTTGTAGTTGATTGGTATTACACTTTTGATTAAAATCATGCCTAATGTCGTGGTGTATCGAACTAAAGGGCATGTTGTTGTTGTGTGGGTTCGACAAATTTGGCATGACAATAATTTTCATTTTTCCCTATGGTGTGGTATTATCATTGAACAGTGATGTGTTTTCCGTTTGATTACCGTCATACAATGTTAGAGTCAAGTTGTAGTTTTTTTTATATAGTTTTGTACTGCTGTTAGTTGGAAAGAATTGTGTTGCTGCTAATGTTTTAATTTACACCACTTTACATGGATAAAATTGCAAGCTTTTGTGAATTCATGAGTTTTGTTGTCTGTTACACTTGAATTTTATAACACTTGGATTTTATATATTATGGTTTTTTGCTGTTGTGATGCTTGATTCTACTTGTATTTTCTCAATATTGAAGATTGTTTTCCACATTTATCCATAACGTTGGACGGTATTCGTGTTAGGCATGGAAGTAGAAATTGAAATTTTTTTCTTTCGTGTCTTATTTTAGAAAAAATAAGAGAATGTTTAAATCATATTTTTAATTTAATAACTAATTATGTATTTATCTCTAAATTAAAAACTCTTTTTATTTACAAGTAATTATATTAATTAAATGAAAAGAATGAGTAATTTTTTTTTTACTCTATTTTAATCCTAAATCTTTTAATCCCAATCAAATATTTTTCAATAACACTCTTTATTTTCTTCTAATTAAATTATCGAAAGTGGTGGGCTTTTGGGGTCTAGCATCCCTTGAGTCCTTGAACAACTATTCTCGAGGCGCACGCCTTTGAGTTACGGTCGTCCCTTTTTTCGATTTTTAAAAAAAATGTTCACTCAATTCAATTAAAGCTTCAAAAAGATTTTTTAAATCAATTTTTACTAATTAGATATTTTATAATAAATTTCAAATATTTATTCTTTTTAAATAAATATAAATTTCAAAATTATTATCAAATGGATTTTTTTTAATATTAAACATTTAGGAAAATATACTTAAAACTTTTCTCAAAGATGTTAAACTTCTTTCAAAACAATTAATCATGATTAGCTTTTCTCAAAAACCTTATTTACGATTGGTTAATTTATTATATATATAAAGTAAACTATTATTTTTCAAAATCAAATTTCAAAACAATCAAATTCTTGGATCTCGCCTTCCTTGAATTTTTTTTTAGCGACCGCTCTCGAGGTGCACACCTCGAGTTGTGACCCTCCCGATCTTATTTTCTAGAATATCTAGCGCGCCTAGTCCGAGTACGCTAATATTTTCAAATCGTTTTCATAATTAAATCACGAAAGAGTCGAGTTCTTGGAGTCGCGCATTCCTCGAATTCGAGAGTGGCTACCATTGAGGCGTACGCCTTGAATGGCGTGTCGCTCAAACTTTCGTTCTTAAAATACCTCCTCTAATTATTTGGGCAAGTACTTTCACTGTCCAGCAAACACTATTTTATAATTAATGGGATGAAAAAGATTGTCGTTGGGATCTAGCATTCCAACGATATCCCGACTAATTGATTACGAGGTCGACGTCTCGTTTATCGAGTAGTCGTCATTCCTCCTAATTTTTCAATCCACATAATCTCATTTCTCACCCTCGTGTGATTGAATCAAAACCTCCTTCAATTCAAACTGTTTCGCGTCTAAACTGTCTATCAAACATATTTTGAATGAAAAAGGTATCGTTGGAATCTAGCATTCCAACGATATCCCGATTAATCGATTGCGAGACTGGCGTCTCGTTTATCGAGTAGTCGTCATTCTCCCCTAAAATATTCAACCCAACTTTCTTCTCTCGCCCCGTGCGATTGAGACCTTCTCAAACACATTTCGTAGAATCTTTCGAATGAAAAAGGTGTCATTGGAATCCAGCATTCCAATAATTCCCCGATTAATTGATTGCGAGGCTGACGGCTCGTTTATCGAATAGTCGTCATTCTCCATCAAATTACTTAACCAAAATCCTCTTTTCTCGCCCCCGCGCGATCGAAATCTTAAACCTATTCAAATATATTCTCTAACCAAAATCATCCAATGCGACAAACCAAATTCCTCGCCCTCGTGCGATTTCCAACTCAAACAACTTTTACCAAGAACACTGTTTAGTCCTTTCTTCCGCGCATAACAAACTCGTGCTTCAGCCTCC